AAAGTAAAACAGAATGGAGAGGTATTGAATTGTAGGCAAAATCATGGGCTTTGAAGCACTGCATAGGTGATGAATAGAACTGGCTCTAAATGAAGTAAACTTCATGTAAAAGGATAGAAGGAGAGGCTTCAGCTAAACCATGAGGATGTCTGCAAGGACTGACCTTGAGTGTAGACCACAGTGATCAGTGTGAATGGTTTATTTGTGGACACGTGTTACAGAAAGGGTGAGTAATCACGGCCGGCAACTGGCCACTTCCACGTATTGGTCTGGCAGACACAGGAGTCTGTCTGGAACGTGACAGGGAGAGTTGATGGAGGGGGAGCATGGAGTCAACAGTTTACGAGGCAGTGACCCTCACGCTGTGGGAGGGAGCCCTGTTTGATGAATTGCTTAATTCCTGGGGCTTATTTTCTTTACACTGGTACTCGCCTTAAATTGATTGCGAAATTCATTTTGATCTTTTGTCACTGTCTCCTTTGGCTGATTTTTGCTTCAGATGTTTCCTCCACTGCTTTTCAGGGGGCGGGGGGGTGAGGGCGGGTGTCAGGACACACACCACTATTAGAAGTAATGCTTGCTTCGTGTAGTTTTGGAGCAAAACTGTCCCTGAAGATAGGGAATTACAGAAAGTGCATGACATCTGCACTTTCTGAAGACCTGAAGGATGCGGGGTGGAAAGCCATTTTGCGTGCCTGCCTCTTTGCATTAGGTTGAGTTTTCTCGTGAGGCACCTCGAAACAGGCTTCTTGTTTTACGCATCCTTTGCATGTCTTAGAACCCCTCCACTGCCTGTGCTTAGAAAAGGTAAGCATGTTGATATTTCATTAACTTATCTTTTCCACTTTGTTAATTGTCTGGGGCCTGGAACCCACAGAACTATTACAAGATGCTCTTGGCTTCTAACTGTAATGATTTGGTTTCCAGTTTATTCAGAATTAGAGGAAATCACCTTGGAGTTCACATATAGCAAAGGGAGCAATGGGTGACTTTACAGAGGTGAGGGAGTGTCCAAATGGAAAGTCCTCAGAGGTCATGACTGCATGGGTCCCACGCTCCTGCCAATAATAGGAGGAAGCCTCTCTTCCTTGCGTTCCCTCCCACCTACTCAATGGCTGGACTTTTACCAGGAAAGTGGCATCTCTGTGGTTTGACTCCATTTAATTGATTAAGCTGTAGATATAAAGACAGCCATGACATGATTCTTGTCACACTGTCTACTGAGACACAGTTTTAAAAGTACTGAAAGGAGAACACCATTTCTGGAGAGGGATAATTCTTTAGGATGTTGTTCATCATTCCATTCTTCACTGAAAATGGATGGCTATTTCAATACCATTTGTGAGATCCTAACTTGAAAAGAAAATAGTAGGCAGGCTTTAGATGTCTAAAGGAAGAGGGTGCAGGAAAGGGCATGAGTGGATGAAAGAACAGGAGGTGGACGCTTGCAATTGTCAGCAGGTTTCAACATGTGGAACAGCAATGGACCTCCTAATTGAATGATCTTCCCCACAAGAAAACGCCATCCACTGTCCTTCTCCCTGCATCTGTTAAAACTTTTTCCCAGGATTAAAATATATAGACGTTTGCAATAACTATAAGTAAAACCCACAATTGCAAGTCCTTCTAATCCACTGGTGTCACCAATGTTAGGTACACAGCTCTATCCCAGCTGAAGTCATTGATTCATGGGCCTTGGAAACTGGGAAACCCTGTCTCCCTAGGCACATAGGCCCTTCCCTAGGTCTGCAGCCTGTGGCCTCTGAACTCGTCCTAGCCCTTCCTTAGATGTAGAGGAGATGAGCCTGGCTTTTTGTACCGAAGTCTACACACCTAGATAAGAATTAAAATCCTCCATCCAACCACCAGAGAGAAGACACAACATTTGGCTTGCTGGACTCATTGAGCTGCTGGCAGGAATTGCTCAGTTTTCTTAAAGGCAGTAGTGGCAGGCACCATGAAGACCAAACTAGGATCTTTGAAGTTCAGAAAACAAAAAACAAAAAATTATATTAAAGTTCAGGTTGAAAAATATAAATCACAGGGAAGAAGCAGTTCTGTTTCACCTCAAGCTGCCAGAATGCTGAGCTGGTCCCCAGGCCTAGGGCAGACAGGTTGGCCAGGTTGGCATGTCTTCTTTAGAGAGAGCTGAATGAAGCCAAGTCTTCAAGCACTTACATTCCCAAAGCCGTTCCAAACATAATCATTAGAACAATGTTGATAATTATACCCAGGGCTCATGGAGGTCATCAGAGCTTTAAAAGGTTCTTCATATCAACGGTCTCACATGACTGGCAATTCTTCTTAAATATTTTTTTAAAAGAGAATAAAACAAACAAATAAAAGAGGCACCTGGAGAGGTCAGGTGACATTGTCTGAGGCTATACAACAAGCAAACATAGAGGTCAATACCACACAGATTCTCTCAGGCATGTGAGAGACATCGGGTTTCAGTCTGGGCTCTCTTTACCAGATTACAGTGTCTCCTAAACCGAAAAGCAGTCAGAAGAGGCATCTATGTCTTTGAGTGGAATAGGAGACATGAGCTTGTCTTTAAGATGTTGGGAGCTTCGCGGACGCTACTTAGGTCACAAATGCCAATACTTGATGGACCATATCTTTGATTCTGCTCCAGAATATTAATGAAAAATCTCCTGGACTGAAGGTGTCTTTGTGGAAATATGAGTGGAGTCCTTTAGAAGCTGTAAGCTTCAGTCTGACTGAGACCCCAGTGAGGTGCCATGCTGTAAGTCACAGTGTGGAGTATTTGGTGGCATGGCCTACTCTCCTGTCACCCTACTCTCTTTCTGTGCTGGAGACTACTATCTGATTTGTGACCAATGACATTTCTTTTCAGAAACTATACCTTTAAACATATTAGAAGCCCATAAGTATTATTAAGGAAAAAAAAGAGAAAAAAATCAAACAAAGTGGAAATAGAATGAAAGTCAGGATGGGCTACTGATTCAGAGAGCACTTAGTTTCAATTCTGCTGATCCGTTATTAACTACAGTCTTGGGCAAGTTATTTAAAACTGTCCCGAGCCCTGGTTTCCCCATACATAGGACAAGGAGAAAAACATCTATTTTGCAGGTAGGAAGACACCAAAATTAAATGAGGTGTCTTAGTCTGCTTAGGCCACCATAACAAAATAACATTGAATGAGTGCTTAAATAATAGAAATGTACTTTCTCATAGTTCTAGAGGCTGGAAGAAGTTCAAGATCAAGATGCCAGCACGAACAGATTCTGGTGAATACCATGCTCTTGGTTTGCAGAGGGCCACCTTTTCACTGTGTCCTCAAACAGAGAGAAAGAGGGTGTGGGGAGAGTGCAAGCGTATGTGTCCCAGCTCCCTCAGAAGGGCACCAATCTTACCATAAGGGCCATACTCTCATGATATCATCTGACCCAAATTACCTCCCAAAGATGCACCTCCTAATGCCATCACATTGGGGGTTAGGGCTTCAGTATAAGAATTCTGAGAAGACTCAAACATTCAGTCCATAATATGAGGTAACCTATGCAGGGTTTTAGCAAGCATCTCTACTGCTTTGGTTTAGAAATTTTAATTTGTCCCTGGAATGGCAAGGCATCTCATTGTGATATCATCTTCATTACAGTTGATAACATTAAAATAATAATTGACAAGTCATTGACATTTCAACAGTAAATAAATAACTCGATGTAATGTTTCTGAGTACCAGTACCAGAAAATCCAGGAAAAGTTGAAGATTCAACTCTACCTTCTTTGTTCAAAAACTGCAGTTAAAATCCACAAGCCTTCATGGGTAGATTCAGTTCCTTGAAAGGGGTATTTCACAGGCACCAATTCACAAGGCCTGGGCAGTATGTACTGCACCACACTTCCCGAAATGTGGTATAAGAGCACAGATAATTGAAACTGGACTTTTGCATCTGTCTGTTTCTAACAATGTATTCTTAAGTTCTATCACCTTTCTGGATCTCTGTTGCCCATGCATATTGTTCTATCAGGGAGATGCTATTAAAAGCACCTGGCATAGTTCTTGGGACATAATAGGATCACAATAAGTGACTAGGCTACTGGTGGAAAACCTGGCTTCTAGTCCTGATCTTGAGACCTTGGGTAAGTCATTAAACTCTCAGATGTTCAGCTGAACAAATATTTCCTAAATTCTCATCTGAGACCTGGGAGCCAGACTTCTTAGTTTGGGTATCTGCTACCTGTTTCAGCTTTGGCTACGTTCCTTTATGACTCCAGAGCCTGTGCTCGCCATCCTACCTGGGCTGCTTCTCTGCTTTTCGTAAACCAGCTGTTCATACTATTAAGTTACCACTCAGATTCTCTCCATAAAACCCCGTGTGTGAAATGTCTTTTGCAATTTGGTGGTAGGAAAAGCTTTGTCTCCTACAAGAAACTGGTATGTTTCCTCTTTTTGAAAATAAGAGTTATGCAACTTATCATGTGTTCTTTTCATCTTGGCTGCCAGGAAGCTCAGAGTCAAACTGTGTACTCAATCACTGCCACCAAGTTGTTTCCTTCTTCCTTTATCTTTGTTCCTTATTTTTCTTTTTAATTCCTTTTTTTACCAACATTTTCATTTGTCTCTTGTTGATAGAGGCCTCAATGATATTTGAACAGTGGTGAGTAGAGATGAAATAAGCAAATATAAATCTAAAATTTACATGAAAAACTTAGGTTTTGAACCTTCCTTCTTCCACTTGCTAAAAGAAAATGGTCAAGGGGATATTTAAAAGAAATAATTTAAGAGCTATTTTAAAGGAGGAAAAAGAAAAAGACAACAGAAAAACAGAATGACCAACACTAACAGAGGCCAAGTCAAATAAAAACTGCAATAAATACGTCTGAGGCTAGAAGTGTTTGTGCTTTCCCTGCCTGGAACCTATCATTTCTTAATTATATCTTGTGTGTGTTTTGCAAGATGTGAGCTGCTGTCAAGAGGAAGGGCAGTCTCAGACAGGGGAGGGGCCACGGCCTGCCCCCTGCTCCTCACATACCTGTACAGAAGTGAAATCCCCCGAGGCGCAGGCACCCAGAATAGCAGCGCCCACAAGAACAGACTCCACCTCTTGGGACAGGACCACAGGCATGCCTGCACAGGACAAGACCACACCTTGGTTAGTGAGCAGGCCCGGGGCACTGTGGGGAGCCAGCAAGCAGCCCCAGCAGTAAAAACACCTGATGGGAAGGTAGCAACAGGCGCCTCCTCCCCAACCCAGGCCGTTCCTTGTCTCCTGGGATTCCCTGCATCTAAAGGGTTTCATCGCCTCTGCCGGCTGGTGCAGTAGCCAAGAGCCCCATGGGAGCCAACATCATACAGATCAACTCATGAGACCTTTTTGCCCAGGTTCCCCAGGCTTCTGCTAGCTGCTGCCTGCCATTTGGTTGAATTTCAGTTCATCAGACATTTATTAAGTGCTTTGCTGGGCCCAGGAATACAGAGCAGAATTTGACTCTGTCCTGCTGTTCAGGTCTCAAAGGGGAGATGGATGAGAAAGAAATAAAGGAGGTTAATTCTGTAACTGAGATGCACTAAGAAAATGGAAGCAATGAGAGAGGGTGTGAATAATCCCTCTAGCAGCTTCCGACTCCTCTGAGTACAAGGCAAAGCCTCTCCAATGGCCGATGAGGTCCTCCAGGACCGGTGCCACCCAGATCTCCCTCTCCTCTCCACTCTTCCTGGCCACGCTGCCCTGGCCTCCTTGCTCTTTCTTAACTCTGCCTCAGGGCCCTTGCCCATGCTGTTCCTCTGTCTGGATCGGTCACTTCTTTCTGGATGTCCACACAGCAACTCTCTCCCACTCCATGTCTTTGTGCAAATGTGCTTCCCACAGCGGCTTTCCTGACCATCGGATTTAAGACGATGACTTAACACAGCACTCCTTATCCCCTTCCAACACTGGGTTGTTAAGTATCTTGATTATGCTCTGTCTCCCCTGCTAGAACATGAGCTCCATAAGGGCAGGGACTTTGTTTGCCCAATGCTGGATTCCGGGATTGGAAGCCAGTGTATAGTACTTGGTAAGAGCATAAATGATGAAAGAAGAAATTTCTAGGAGGGGAAGGGTGTCCTCAGAGTGCATCTGAAGGATAAGCGGGGTCTGCCAGGCAGGGAGGTACACTCCACATGCCAATTCCCAGAGGCTGAGGGTTCATGGTGGGTTTAAGATTAATAGCAATCATTTAGAAGTCTTGGGATTTTACATGTATGCATGTGTATAACAAATAAAACACAAGAAGTATGAATGTATTCGCTAATCAGGAGATGGCAGCAAACTCCACAGAGGTAAGCTCTATGGTCGGGCCTGTAGTCTTTTCCTACTCAGGACAGTAGACTTATTTTTCCCAAAGTCTGGGCTCTTCTTGCTGTCTTTCTGGGAAGGTTTCCCTGACATAACCTCCTTTGCAGGCCCACCATTTCCACCCTCACCCCCCACTCCAGGACTGGGCCAGCTGGTCAGCCATCTCAGAGAAAGGGGACAGGGAACAGAGTTCTCACACACATCCCGGAGGGCTCAGGAACAGCAGCCCTACGCTGCAGGGCGGGCCAGTGCCTGCGAGTTTGCTAACAGGCAGCAGGTGGGCTGGGGTCTCTGGGAAAAGCTTAGACCTGGTCCCACTAGCCTTGTGTCCTTCAGTACGTCACTTAAACCCTTTTAGCCTTGGTTTCCCCATATGTAAATGAAGAGACTTTCCACACAGGCTTGCTGTGCGGATTAATGAGAAAGGGCATACACGGTGCTCAGCACGTTTGCTGGCCTATCATGAGCCCTCGAGAATGGCGGCTGCTACTGTCAGAATCAGAACTGACAGTGAGCGAAGCCCATCTGCACGCAGTTCTCCTGAGCTGGAAACTGGAGAAGCAGGGAAGGGACATCTCGAGGGGAAGGACAGACACCAGGCCACACCGAAGGGCTGCTTCAGCCAAGTCAGGAGAGAGCACTGTGAATGCCTTTGTAGAATCCAGGGGTCCTACAGACAGACTGTGACTGTGTCCGTGACCACCCCTCAGCACTGGAACTTTTGAGAAGACAGTTGCTCCAAATGACATTCACCTCCCAAGCCCCTCTTTACCCTGCCAAAAAGCCTCACCAGTTCTGAGCAGGGAGGAACCACTTCCAGTTCCCTGCCACTGGGAACCAGAAACCAGAGTAAACCTGTTGAGCTTCCCTATCAGCTCTCCAGCTGCAGCCAAAGTGCTCTGCAGCCAGGCTGCCGGGGCTCGCACTCTGGTTCCCTTGCTGAATTAGCTGTGTGGTCCAAGGCGAGGCAGGTTAGCTAAGCTCTCTGTGCCTCGGTTTTCCCATCTGCAGAATGGGGTTAAAACTCCACCTACTTCACAGGGCTACTGTCAGGATTAAAAGTACTATTGAGAGTAGGGCACTTAAAACAGTGCTTGGCTCACAGAAAGCACTAAATTAGCACTAGTTGTTATGCCTCTTGAAGTTTCCCTTAACTCTGAAGTCTCTCCACACCTGTTTCTCTGGGTGGAACCAACTCACTGCTTCTATTTCTCCCTCAGGTCAATCCTACTTCTTCCCTCACACCCTGACCCTCACTCCAAACCTGCTCTGGGTCCGGAACACTCACCCGGGTGGACCACACCTGCGGCCCAGCTGCCTGCTGGCTGAGCCATTGACTAAGCTCCAGCCCAGCAGTCCTCCTCAAGCCCTGTGGTCTTAGGTTGGCTACTGCCCTGCCCTGGGGCCTCTGTAAGGCTAGAGATGGTAAGACTGTGAGTTGCCCCAGGGTATTGGGTGGTGGCCAGGGTTTCTCTGCACCCTACCCACACCTCTGTAAACAAACCCTTCAACTCATCTCCATTTAATCCAGTTAGAGTGTGTTCTCTATTCCCTGCCTGGATCTGATTTGCATTATGCTGGGGCGTTCCCTGTGTCCCACCATAGTCTCTGGACACTGGAGAGAGCACATTTTGTGTTTGTAATGACCCTGTTAGCAGGACATTATTGCTCTTCTTTACACCCCTAAGCCACCCTCAGTGCTTGGTCCGCTAGTGTGCTCAGGGAAGGTTTTGGAGGGAATAAATAAATTATTAAAATAATAAATAAGGCAGGAAGAGGGAAACCCCTACTAAAATTGCTAGTACTGAAAAACAATATCTAGGAGGAGGAACACTGAGTCCCAAGTCAGTGGGGGAAACCTACAATTACTTAGTACACACCAAGTATTTCTTGAAACCACAGTTAACTAAATGCCCGGGGCACAAAGAAATTCTGCGTCTGCACGTAGAGGACATTTCCCAAGTTGGTGAAGCTCTGCTCTCCTTGTTTGCACGGAGCAGGCTGTTCCCCAAAAGGCAGAGATTTACACACAAAACATTAAAACTGCTTTCTCCTCAAACATACTTCCTTCTTTTTGGTGTGCTGCGTAAGGAAAGAAGTGAACTAACATTTACTGAACACCTACTTAGAGTCAGGCACAGAGCTTGGTGCTCACAAATTCATGAGTATTTACTCAGTACAGTCTAAAGGAGGGAAATATTATTTCTATCTTCCAGCAGAGAGAAATGAGGCTCAGAGAAGTAAAGCAACTTGCCCAGAGGCACAGAGCTGGCCCCACCCCCAACCCCGCTCGTTCCATTACTCCAAACTTTCCCCAAAGTATCTTCCAAACTCCCCTGGGTTTTCCACGTGCATTCCTGAGAACCATGTACCAGGTTTACGGTCCCTTGAAGTTTTTCTTTGTAGGAAAACTAGAGCAATTACAATATTTAAAGGCACCAACAAATCTACCTCTACACCCTCTGCTCTGTATGTGCCTTTTATAGGAACGAGAGCAAATGTGGTCTTTTTTTCCTAGTGCTGGGTGCAGGAGAGGAAGAAGGCAGCCTTGCCTGGAATGTGAACTATTTTATCTGATGCATTAATGAGTTTAGCAGAACCCAAAGCATTTAAAGGCAGATGCACTTTGCCATCACTTGTCAGTCACAGGCTTCCCAAGGCAGAGGAATTCCATGCCAAAGAAAAGGTCCCTTTGTCTGGGACTGTAGCTGGTCCATAGTCAGAGACAAAGGGTCCAGTTTCAATCGGAATCCAAATAACGATTAACAGCCTTTTCATTCAACAGCCTGAAGAACAGCTTCCAAAGCAGAACTTTCTGTGAAGCCGCTGCAACCCCAGCTTTTGAGCCAGCACGGGGATGTAGGGCCTGGAAGAGGACCCAGTTTCATAAAGGCTGGGGCCGCAGCGCCTAGTCGGGAGCCACGGTCACTCCCGCCCCTCCGCTCTCGGAGGCCTGCTTCCCATTCCCGCCGGTGATTTGGTAGACAAGGCTGGTTTTATCTTCCAGGTAGGAAGTCTTTGTGGCTGTTAGAAGACCAGAAATTGGAAGGTCATTCACAGATCAAATTTTAAGTCTGACTCTTATCTGAACCAAGCTAGCTGAGTTTTAGATAAAATGGGTTTTCTCCTGGGGAAAATTGTAAAGTAATCTGGGTACCCTTTCATGTCTTTCCTCTTTCTGCCTCAGTATGACCTGCTTTCATAGGTTTCGGACATTTGGGAAAGAGTCATCATCATCAAACGGTTACAAACTGGGCAGAAAAGTTAAGAAACCTGGGCCTGAATATACCTGGGTTATAATCATGGTCCTGCTCCTTATTGGACGTTTGAGTTTGGACAGTTGATTTAATTCATCTCTATGAACCTCAGTTTCCCTGTCTGTAAGATGGGAGCGCTCATTTCTACCCTTTAGTGGTGTGTGAGGACTAAATGTATATGGAGTAATTCACATCCACACACAGTGGGAGCTTGGTTAACGGTGGTAATTTCCATAAGTAAATCCTGATATATTTGCCCTTAGACTGTGTCCTTTTTTATACTGTCCTCCGGCCTGTGCCTCCGTCTATTGATCCCCAAAATGAGGACAGCAACGTTTGTGTGACCTCACAACATGCTGGGGTCAATTACACCCATCGCATTAGGGAAAGCTCTCATCTGCAGGAATCTGCGTGGCCTAGAGGGAGAAGGGGCAAATGATGCAGCAGAGTCAGGAGCAGCGAACTTGACCCACGGAACTGTCAGAGATGAGGAGTCCAGGAGATGGGGACAGCAGACGATCATGATAAATGGAGGCCACTGTAGGGTGGGCTCATATTAGGCTGGAGCTATGAGCAGGGTCCAGTCCTCCCCTACTTCCCTCCCCTTGCCCTGCCCTGCTACCTGGCCCCCCTGGGACAGGCCCTGGGAGGGAAACGGTCGTCCCTACGAGACACTGGCAGAGATAGGGGCAGGAGGGGTAAGGGCACCAGGATAGCAGGCCAGCCCAACCTCTGCGACACCAGCAAGCCTCCTACCAGTGGGGCCCTAGCGTTGGGACCCAGGGGTCTGCCCTGTGGGTCCTGTTCTGCTTTGTCTGCTCAAATCACAGAGGGATCCGTCCATCACTCTGGATTCTCTCCATCTGTGTCAAGATTTTTGATTCTGATGAGGATCTCAGGGTCTTAGAGCTCAAAATCCCATCTGCAGCTAGACCCACAGTTCCCATAGCAGCTGGGTTCCATATTCCTTCTTCAAGGCAGTTTCCTTATCACTTTCTCCAGATTGCTTGCCCTGCACCATCATAGGTCCAAACCAGGGAGAGGAGCCTCACTGTGTTTTCATAATATCCGGCCTCTTCTCACTTGGAGCTCTGGCCACACTGAATTTAACACGTTTGCTATTTGCCTTCTTCAATGGACCTTGAACTCCTTGGGGGCAGAAATTATGCCTTATTCATTTCCATAGCTTCAATATTCCCTACAATGTGCAGAGCAGAAGAAGTACTCAAAATTGTTGAGTAAATGCGTAAAGTAGGATCTAGCCCTGCTGACCTCTCTTGTCTCATTTCTTACCACCATCCCACAGTTGGATTCTCATGGAAGTCACTTTCCCCATCATGACTACAAAGACTCAAGAGTTATCTTTTAAAAAATATGTGTTAACATAGTAAACATTCAAGATAATTTGGCATGCTACCTGTATCCTCCTATTCTCAACCCTAGATCATGAACATGACCCTTTTGCTGCCAAGCCTACAATGACCTCTCCTTCTCCGACTTACCAGTAATGTCCGCATGCATTTGCACAAAAAGGGGATTCTTGCTCAGGCCTCCACACAGGAAAAGAGTGCTGATCGAGTGCCCTGCAGCTTCCATGGCCTCTATAATGAAGCGAGTCCCAAACTTCAAGGGAAACACACAAGAAATATCAGAGTGATAGCCAAAGAAAATGATATCGAACATTTACTAAGTGCTTACCCAGTGCCAGACATGGCCCTCCGAGCTTCACAAACACTGTCTCGGAAAGCTGAGACTCCCAGGGAGTCGTTTGTCTCTGATCACATGGGTCACTAAGTCACAGACTGGGGACTCCAGCCTGGACCTGCCTGACTGAAAATCTTCTTCATTACTGTATCATTTGCTTTTACCAGTTGTTATGTGATACCGATAGAAATAAATGATAATATTAACACGGTTAATACATATTAATATAGTTCATTCAAATCAATATTTGATGAGTGTTATTGTGGCCCAGGTCTCCACTTAGGTACGCGGAATGAAGTGATTGGCAACACTGCTCTGAAAATAATGGTCCGCGGTCCCTGAGTCAACCTTTCTTCCCGAAATAAGAACTAAAGACGTTTGTTCTTTGGAAAAAACACCAACAAATTAAGCAGCAGAAACGTGGAAAGAGGGCTCTCATTGCACAAGGAAGGTGAAACTCAGACTTGGGATGGCAAAGGGCTAAAGTGACCTTGTTCTGTTCTCACTTGAGACCAGGTAGTGGTTCCCATAATGAAGCTTCCAGAGCTGGAATCCATTCCCAGTCAGTCCTTAATGACCTGGGAAGATGTGGAAATCACATGCTCTGGTTGGCTCACGGCTTTGCTGTATTTTCATTTCAGCCCTTGTATATTAATATCTTCCTAAAATGTGTTATCCTCGTCCTTGTCTTGCTAAGTTTACTAAACTCAGTAAATAAATGTTGATGCTTGGGAAGAGGAAACACTCGTAGGATCATCAAAATGAATCTTAATGTACGATTCTTTAGCTTTAGGGCTCGGGTTTTCAAACAGCTAAAAATCATAATATATTTAGAAGTATGAAAACTAGAAGTTCACAAATCATAATGTTTTTGGGGGACAGGGATTAAAAACAAACAAAAAAGATGAAGTGTGATACGGACTTAGGCGGCCGGGAGTAGTTTTGTTTTGTTTCTTGTGGAGAGAGAGTCCTTAAAAATTTTAGAGATGGAGCAATTCTGGGGGGTGACAAAGTCCTAGGCGTGGACATGGGAGCGAGATGCTGAAACAATCAGGGGAGAAGGTTGGGGGGGGGGGTGCGGTGGGGGTGGGGATCAAGGATCTGAGAGGCCGCAGGTGGTGTGGCCAACAAGAAGAAGGCAGGTTTGAACTGGAGAGACTCCGTGAGCCAGTATCATGAATGAAAGCTCAGCACTGCTGGCAAGTGGTACCCCAGCACAGGGAGAAAAGAAGGTAATTGAGCTGGAGGGCGTGCCGTATCAGAGGCTTAACCAAAGTAAAGTAGGAGATTTGAGAAGTGGTCTGAATGCTCCCATGACCCCCAGGGTGTGGAATGTGGGGCGAGTGAAGCTTCCTTTGACAAGGCTGTCTGCAGGGCTGCGTATCCTGGGCTGGAGGGGTCTCTGGAAGGGGGAGTGACAAGAGGGTAATCTGGGGACCAGGCAGCATGAAGCCCTGATTGCTGTGGAATAAATTATGAGGGAGAGAGGCAGTTCAGCAGCAACACACAGCAGTTCCAGCCCAAAGGTCCACGGGGTTTGTAGAAGCTGTTAGTGAATTTGGTAAGAATATGGATTAGGCAAAACTTGGGCAGACAAAGATAATCTACAGCTGTAGTGTTTTTTTTTTTCTTTTTTTAATTAAAACATGTTGTACCATATAAGGCCAGATCCTGCTTGTTGATTATGGTTGATTACCCCCAGATGTTCTTTCCTAAGCTTTTTGGCAGTCACGAACTCTCTTGAGAACATACTAAAACCTACTGACCTCCCCAGAAAAAAACTCATATACAAAATAATATTATAAATAATTTTTGGAGGTCTACAGATGCCCTTAGGTCCACCATTGATCATTTGGTGTCCATGGATTAGAGGCAACCCTTCACTACTCTAGGGGCGTGAATCTAGAGTAGCTAAGATCATAGCTTTGAATTTTAAAAATACTTAGGATGGTATTAAGGCATTTCACCTATTTTTTTAATCAAACCTGTACCTAACCTTTCTAAGACTTAATTCTTATTTTTGAAATGGGAATAATAATATCTGCTCACTCGAAAATTCTATGTATTTTCAGAATTAACATGAAAAAATTAAAATGCAGTCTCAGGCTTCACGAAATACAGTGAGCCTTACCTAGCCAGGTTGCTGTGCTGTAGACAGTGGAGGGAGAAGAGTGTCGAGGACATGGCAAGTGTTTAGAAATGAGAGTCATTCTGGTCATTAGGACTCTGCTAGGAGTTCAAATGTCATCTCTAATCTATGAGAAATTTAAAGACTGCATATCGTTATCCCCATTTAAGAGTTATATCATTTGCGTAAGGCAGTAGAGTTTGTATGGGGGCGGGTAACTGCCTCCCGACATACATGGAAATGCCATGCAAAATTGACATTTCTCATGTTTCTAAAACCAGGGACCTGGGCTCATGTGCTTAAAGGGCCTGAGTTGAGAGTAGCACAAAGCCCATTGCCTGGGAAAAGGAACAAAGGATCCAACAAGAGGCACTCCCTCAAGAGGGGCTGTGACAGCCTGTCTCCCTCCTGTGGCATTGTCGGCTGGAATTTCCCACTCGGCCTGGCCTGCTGCAGGGCCTTTCCTCCGCTCTGTGAAACGCTCCACCTCCTTCTAAGGCTTTGTGCTAAAATGATTTTGTGCTCACCTTTCTGGAAAAAGTGTTTTCACAGAGAAATTTAAATTAAAATTAGGCTATTCCAGTGGGAATGTACAGAACCAAATGCAAATCGAGAGACTTCAAATGCAAATAGTACTTTTTAAAGGTCTACTCTGAAAAGAAAACTATAGATGAACAGGCTACGGATAAACTGGGTGTTTGACAGGTCTTTCAATTAAGTGTGATCAAGAGGGAATTTTACTTCATGGAGGGTTTCGCACAGTCCCAAGTTAACTTCATTACAATATCTCTTCAATTTCATTCTATTTCTACAAAATACCAATCATAGATATTACTATAGAAAGGAGTTTGTTTAACTTATCGCAACAAACAGGTGTTAGGGCCTTCTTCAGAGACAATGAAATAAAATTTTACTTTCAAGTTTAATGTTGTAAGAAAATATCTGTTATCAGAATGCTTAATTAGAATGCACATTTTTGCCCAAAAGATCAGCACACCCAGGTACTTTTGCAAAACAGGCTGAACTGCTCACAGTTCAATTGACCCCATCATAAAGCCTTATTGAAAAATCTCTGTCTTAAATTGCTTTCCCTTCATGGTATTATAAAGGTCATCAGGACAACAGACAAAATAAATATGATGGCTTTTAATACATGTACGGCCCATTACATACAAGATTGACTTTCCAAATGTGTTGAATTTGGGAAAATGTAGTGGGCTCCCCTCCACTAGCCACCCCCTCCCCCCGCTTTCTGCATTAAGTTTATCCTCATTTACACATTCTAAGACTTCTGCTGCAGCGCTGTTAGCAGGCCCGGGACCTCTGTGAGACAATCTGGCCAAATTAACAATGTTTTCTAAGAGTGGCAAGTCAAAACTGTTCTTGGGAATGCCCGGAAGCTTATTTTATCCGAGAAGCTTTTACACATAGATCAAAGAAAAGTGCAGCGTGGTGAAGCGCAAAGAGCAGAAGTGTGGGAGTGAGGCAGATAGAGGCTCAAATTCCCACTCTGCCATACGCTAGCTGTTCTGACCGTGGCAAGGGGCTTTTCTTCGGTCTGTAAAAGGAGGACAATCTCATCTACTTACAGGTTGCTGTCTTAAGCCACAGGTGCGTAAGGCACTCTGGTGCTGGCACTGAGAGTGGGTATCAATGGGAGGTAACGGTTATGTGTTATCATGTGCTGGTGCCCCTTGATTCATTCTGTGTGGCCTCGTTTTTCATGTCCACCTCTTAGCCAGGACTCAGAACGATGAGCCTCACACAGTTCTGATTTTCCGGGATTAATGCATTTCAGTGCAAGCGATTCATTCCACTATAATAAGACTTTTCATGCAGTAACATGAAAGAATCAGAGAATAAAAGTTCCCCAACACATTATCTATTTAGTTTTATTTTAGAAGTCCCAGCTCTGCCCCTTACTAATTATATGAAACTGAGCAATTACCCTCACTGAGACTTAGGTTTTTAATCTGTGGACTAAACAACTTCATAAGGTTGTCAGAAAATGTGTGTAAAATATTTAGCACAGTGCTTGGCACGTAATACCCCCAAACTATATTATTTATTATCACCATCACTATAAAACAGGATCACTAAATAAATGTTTTTACTACTGATGCACATTTTTATTCTCCATTTTCATCTTACTCGTCACTCCTTTCATTTTGATGGATGTCAGAATTGTCTCTTTTTGACCAAGTCCCCATAAATAAAACAGGCTGATTGATTTCACCGATCTGGTCAAGCTATTAAATCAATAAGACAGAGGCTTCAGAAAAATAGAGTTAAACTGGTCTATAAACTAAAAGGACTGTTTAATCAAGTTGGCTGATTCCACACTCCTATATAGTTGCATTAAAGAGCACACGTTCCTTTAGTGGTTGGGAAGTTCTGTTCTCTTATCAGATGTGCATGACGCTCAGATGCATGTGAACATGAGAAAAGTACCTTTGTTAGTGATATGGATATGTTAAAAAAATACATGTAGTTTGATTATTTTAAACAATGAGGCCATGAAAGATGTGTGGAGAAACATAACTGAATAAGATATAAATATGTCCATAACAGCATTAACAACTTTGTTTAAATAGGTATGTTTCTGTAAATGAATTTTCAATGTGAATTAAATGAACTGATTTTTCCTTTATGTTGGTCTCTATTTTTTTTCCAGAGTAGCTAAGTCTCACTGGATCACTTGTTATATTTTGGAATTCCTACAAGCTCTGAGACCCTGAAAGCCATGACCCACTACCCTGAAGACCTACTTTCTGACATGTACACAATCTTTCATGCATGATTTCAGGGTTTAGAAGCCTCCTGTAGCCCAGCCGACTCATGGATCACCTCTAGAGAATAAGATGCTTTAGACAATCATGTTCAAGCTTTTAGAATTTTGTTTTCAACTTTGATTGACCTTCAATTTAGGAGCTCCTAACACTTTAGATTTAAATTGTTCCCTTTTTCCATCCCTAACAGTCAAAGCTTTCACTTAAGCAGTTAATTATCTAAAAACAAATACTTTTGTGTTCTAAGAAAGCTGAATATTTAAACAAACCCTATGATTAATTTTTTGCAAAGTAAAGAATATCATGTGCTTTATGAATTTGGACATTCTTAATTCCAGTTTTTTCTTCTTGCAAACATACATGGCATCTGCTTGCTCGCTTCTATTTAAATGAACTTAGAAGATAAATTAGATAAATGACAAGTATGGTATTCAAAGACTTTAACACCTTTCAGCTATTTGAGGTTATTAATAAAGCAGGTGAAGATCTTCATCAAGATTTCCTTCTGAACAGACAGTGATATCTTTTTGGCAAGATCCCCTTTAATTAAGAATCTCTGTCACAAAAGCATATGATGTATCTTGTGGAGCATGGGGTTTAAAGTTTATTGATACCATGAGACTCTTTAAAAATGGCATTAAAACTCCCAAAACCATATCAACATTACAATTAAACTACACAACGACTATTATTCAGAACTGCCTAACATCTAGCTGAATGGAAGTCCTACAACTAAAGATACAAAGAAGCCGCAACATCAAGATTGGTAGGAGATGCAGAGACATGGAATCAGCTGGACCCACACCCACATGTGGCAGATAAAAACTGAGAGGGATATCTCAGCTACGGAGGGGTTCCCTCTGAGGAGTGAGGGGTCCCATCCCCACACTAGGCCCCCTAGCCCAGGGTTCCAGTGCCAGGAAGAGAAGTCCCCATACCTTCGGGATGTAAAAACCAGCTGGGATTGTGGCAGAGTGAGACGGGGGGCTTTTGGAGTCCCAGGAATTTCCTTTTAAAGGGCTGGCACACAGATTTACTCAGACCACCTTGCTGTAAGCTCCAGCACTGGGGCAGCAGATTGAAAGGCACCAGGGACACATGGAGAGGAATTGAACTGTCTGGCATTAGGGCAAGAACTGGAGAGGCAGCTTTCTCCAAGACAGAAGTGCTGGCAGAGGCCACTGTTCCTTTTCTGAGTCCTCCTCCAAGAGCCAGGAGGCGGACACCATATCTGAGTCTCCATTATCACTGTTCGCCTCACCTGGTGATTCCCTGAGACCCCCATACTCCCAACCTGTGGGTCCACCCAAATTATTTCCAGTGGCTTTTCCACATAAATGGCCTGTCTTGGCTCATGCTTCAGACTTTGCTATAATCTCTTGAATAAGAAGCATCTGGCCTTGGTGTGTCCTGTACCTTTCACTAAATGGCCCCAAGACCAGCACTAGCAGAAGCTGTCCTTGGTTCACAGCTTGGTCTCTCCTGGGCACCTCCGAGCTCAGCAACAAGTAGCAGTCATCTGTAGATTGCTTTGTAGCTTATGCTGGTGGCCCTGGGCAGAATACAGGTGGCAGCTGACCTTGGTCTGTACCTCCTGGGATGACCCAGTGCCAGCACACCTGGCAGACAGCTTCAAATCATGTTGAAGCATCACCTAACCACCCTCACAAGCAACTAGCTCAGGAGTGGACTCAGTAGGCACCAGAGCCCTGCTGAAGAAAGTGCTGCTCCATGGGGTGGGTCCCTGCACAGCTGATCCTTCATGGTGGTCACAGCCAATTCTGGCAGCCAATATACCTACATGTAACTCCCTCCCCTTGACTTGCCAACAGCAAAGGCTCAACTATAAGAAGAGAGTATACACAGCTCACATGTGGGCACAGGGGAGGGAGTGCTGAGCATCTAGAGTGCCCAGCTCCAGAGAACAAGGAGGCTATGCCACTGAACTCTACAGGACACCTACTACCTTAGGTCACTCTACCAAGCCAGGGAGACATTGCAGCTCTACTAATACATTAAAAAACAACAACAACAACAAAAACCAACCCACACACAGGGAGGCTGCCAAAATGAAGAGACAAAAAAAACATGTCCCAAATAATAGAACAGAACAAAATGCCAGTAAAAGAACTAAACAAAATGGAGACAAACAACCTACCAGATGCAGAGTTCAAAACACTGGTTATAAGGATGCTCACTGAACTTAGGGGAAGAGTAGATGAACTTCGAGAGAACTTCAACAACATAAAAAAAAGTACATGATAACCATAAAAATGAACCAGTCAGAAATGAAGGATACACTAACTGAAATGAAGAATAATTTACATGGAATCAACAGAAAGTAGATGAAGCCAAGAATCAAAACACTGATTTGGAATATAAGGAAGTAAAAAACACCTAGTCAGAACATCAAAAACAAACAAAAAAAAAAAGTAAAAAAATGAGGATTATGTACGGAGCCTTTGGGACAGCTTCAAGTGTACCAACATTTGCATCATGGGGAACTGGAAGAAGAAAGGAGAAAGCACGAAATTGAAAATGTATTTGAAAAAATAATGATGGAAAACTTGCCTAACCTGATAAAGAAAATAGACATACACATGCAGGAAGTACAGAGACTCCCAAACAAGATGAACCCCTAAAGGTCCACACGAAGACATATCATAATTAAAATGCAAAGGGTTAAAGACAAAGAGAGAATCTTAAAAGCAGCAAGAGAAAAGCAATCGGTTACCTACAAGGGAGCTCCCATTAGGCTGTCAGCTAATTTCTCAACTGAACCTTTGCAGGCCAGAAGGGATTGACAAGCAATATTCAAGGTGATGAAAAGCAAGGACCTACAACTTAGATTACTCTACCCAGAAAATCTATCATTTAGAATGGAAGGACAGATAAAGAGCTGTCCAGACAAGAAAAAGCTAACAAAGATCATCACCACCAAACAAGTGTTATGAAATGTTAAAAGGTCTTCTTTAAGAAGAAGAAGAAAAATAGGTAAAAAATATGAACAGTAAAATGGCAATAAATACTAATCTATAACCAACTGAATCTAAAAAATAAACAAATCAGCAGAACAGAAACAGACTCATAGATACAGAGAACACTTTGACAGTTGCTAGATGGGAGGGGGTTTGGGGGATGGGTGAAAAAGGTGAAAGAATTAAGAAATACAAATTGGTAGTTACAAAATAATCCTGGGGATGTAAAGTACAGCATAGGGAATATAGTAAATAATATTCTAATAACTACATATGATGTCAGATGGATACGAAACTTATCAGTATGATTACTTAGTAAGTTATATAATGTCTCATCACTGGGATGTACACCTGAAGCTAATATAATATTGTATGTCAATTATAATTGAAATATTAAAAATTTAAAAATGACTGCTTCTATATTTATAGGGAAATACAGTTACCCTTTGAACAACACAGGTTTGAATTGTACTAGTTCACTTATATACAGATTTTTTCAATAAATACTGGACAAGTATTTTCTCTTCCTTATTATTTTCTTAGTAACATTTAAAAATTTTTTTAAAGTGGCATTAAAGCGTCTTACAGCAATGGCTTGCACTGTGGCCAGGTAGAGAATGGCAAGATCATCGAGGTCCTGAGACAGTTTCAATCCGGTGACCTGTAAAGATGAAACCAAAAAAAAAGATGATGGCCAAAAGGAGCTGCCATGGATAAAGTTAGTTCCCATGAAACACGTTCAGATGTGTTTCTTGCCAAAACAAGTTCATATGCAAATCCCCTTTCTGTCAGCTGAATGTGAAATGACTACTAAATTGTTTAATCTCCAGACCGGGGAAAAACTCTCTCTTCTTCTTTAAAGAAATCCCTTGCCTTGAATTAAACAAAAACAAAACAAATACCACAGAAAGATTGTGTTTGATATTTCTGAGCATGGAATAAGATTTCTTTCCTCTTCTTTAAAAAGTCTTTTATTACAAACATCTTTGGCTTACAGGAATCAACAACATGTAGTGGTGGCATTCTTACAAAAGTTGATCTTATTCCGAGCTCTGCTACTGTCAGGATTCAGTGTAACAGCATCCAGAGGGTACTCAGGGTAAATTAGTATGTCTCCTGTAAATGTTATACCTACTACGGAATAATTTAGAATCTGTGGTGTGCAAGGGAATCCCATTATAATCAATCGGAATCACATGCTTATATGCAATGTGTCAATCTCTGAGAGATTCCAGAGCTGAACAGAATGTTGGGTTCGGACGCCTTTGATACTCCTTTACCGTCCCCCTTTCATGACTCCCATTCATCAAGGTGTTCTCTTGGGACTGCTGGTTCCGTCAAGCCTAGTGTGAAATTTGTGGGCATTGATACCAGAGTTCACTTTATATTATCACATTACAAAAATTAATTCACTTAACATACTTTTACCCAGACACCTACAGTGTGTGTGCCTACAGTGAGCATGGTCCCAAATTCAATGAGGTGGTAACATGGATCCTGTGTTACAAAGGGGGGGTCAAGACGTCTACACAGGCTCCTTTCCTTCATCTCTTCAGATTCCATCCCCGGCCATGATCAAGGGGCCAGTACCAGCCCGTCGGCAGGGCCCAGATACCATTCTGTACTCAAACCAGAAACTTAGGAGCACTCTCCCCTGACTTTTCTCTCCCTTCCCATATTTGGCCAGTCTCCAAGCCTTGTATATTTGACCCCACAACGCTTTATTGCCTCTATCCCTTTTTTATCCTCACTGCCGCTTACTTCCTTAACCCAGACCACCATTATGCTCTCCCTTATTGCTGAACTTGCCCTGAGAAAATACTCCTTTCTAATGGTGCGCCTCTCTAGCGTGGAGATAGTGATTATTCTCAAATGCAAATTTGATCATGTGACTCCCTGTTAAAAATTGTCTCCCTTGCCCTGATTTAAAAAAAAAAAAAAAAAGAAGTTTTAATCCTCACCTGAGGACCCCTTTTCTTTTTTCATTGCTTTTAGAGAGAGAGGAAGGCAAAAAAGAAAGGAGGGGGAGAAACATCAATGTGAGAAAGAAGCATTAATCGGTTGCCTCCCCTATGTGCCGAGACCGGGGATTAAATGTGCCTGAACTGGGGATTGAACTCGCAACCTGGGTACGTGCCCTGACCGGGAATTGAATTCACAACCCTTTGGTCATGGACCAATGCTCCAACTAACTGAGCCACACCAAACAGAGCCTCTTCGCCCTCATTGTGAAGCAGAAATGTCTTCTTCCCAGGCGTACCCCTGCTCACTACTCCAGTGTCTCAGCTTGCTTACTTAGGATCCTGTGCTCCAGCGATTCGGAGTACTAGTATAAGTTTGCTAGTAAGGGGATTCTGGCAGAGAATTTTTCTTGGCAGATATTTGGGCAGCAAGATGAGAAAAATGCCTTTAATTTTAACCCAAAGGAGCAGGGAAGGTTTGAATGAGAGACAAGAGAGGAACTCTAGGGATGCATTCTCTCAAGCCAGTAACTCTCTGTGAACGGACATCTCTCATGAAATTTTCCAGAGACCTAAACATATAGTAAGCATGCTTGAACTAGGAGAAATATAAATAATGCTGACAACACAGAAGTTCATTTCATAATCTTCCTCAGGAAATAATTTGCCTAAGGGAATGCAGAGGAAGGAAATCAAATCTTAGGCTTTCTGATAGACTTTACTCACGTTATTCACCACACTATATCCAATGCCTAGCATTGTGCCTGGCACATAGCAGACACTAAGTTAATACTTGTTGAATGTGTGAATTAATGACAACTCCATGCTCCTTCTTCCGTTTGTATACCGCTGTCTCCTAATATCCTATCCTTCCTGTTGTTATACAGTTATGAGAAGACAATGTTTACTACGTTGGGTCCTCACACATTCACAGAGAGGAAGAGTCATTTGTTCCATGTCCCGAGAGAGAACACTGAAGGTCTCTTATAGCCGCTCACTCTATGCTCCCAACACTCCCAAACTCCGTACTTACCATTCCTCATTGGAGGAGTGGCTCATGTAAGACTGGAGTAAAAGTAAGGTCCCTGTAGTGCATGTGGAAACTTGGAGTGAACTAGAAAAAAATGCCCCCGTCTGGTGGATTAAATACATAAGGCATGCCATCTGGGAGAATGAATTATAAAAAAAAAGAGCAGCGTGAACAGGATTCAGTCCTGTCATATGGCACCTCAACTGAGTATCTTGTGCAAGTAACCAGCACCGTGACATGCAACAGTCCTGGGTAAAGATCACTAGTCATGAATGCTCTCTCCCTTCTGTGCTGGCCTGGCTCCAATAACATCTCTGTTGTTGATCTACTGGGAAAGCCGACTGGGCCATGGCTTAGAGCTCTCTTCCAGAACCCGTCCAAGAGGCAGGCCACTTCTGGCTTCCTCTCCCTGGTCATCAATGTGATGCGAATCAAGCCATGTTCAGTGGTGTGACTGGGTAATTGACTTGGCAGACCCACATGTTCTGACGTTAGTCCTGAACCAGATTTGGATAAATTATACTGGGAGTGGGGGAGAAGTTTGACTTACATATAACATGCACTCTCCTATTGATTTATTAGAAGTTCTGGTAACCTATATAATACTGATAATGTAACTAGTTCTGTTATCCTTCCTAATTAGTATGACTCCAGGAAAGAGGGGTGTGATATCACCAGATTTAGCTTTCTTAATCCCCAGCAAATAGTCATAAGATATTCCAAAAAGTATTGGTATTTGAGCTAAAAGATAACATGGTCCCTTCTCTAAATTTCTAGTGCCTTGAGAGCTCAGAAATCATAGAGAAGAAAAGAGAAGATAGCTTCTTTTCTTCAGAAACTGATTAAGATAATAATGTAAATAAGCACTAAATTTAACTCTTGAGCTTGTTAGGCGCTGTGACAAAAGGGGACACATAAGGGGTGACACAGCATTTCTTTCTTCAATACATAAGACATACCTATCCTTCAAGGAGAAAAAGTTATCCCTGGGAAGAAGATACTCAGTACAAAAGGGAGTCAGCCTGCACACTTCTCCCATAGCCATTTCCAACATTTCCTCCCCACTAGCACCAGGGTCAAGGAGTTGAAATGTGTCTCATTGAAAAATATTTCTTTTTACAGTGCAAAGTTACTATGGTCAGGGGCAAGGAGGCCTCTTCTTCCTTCACATCTCACTTGATACGCAGATGGAGGCACGAGAGGGCATGTTCTCATTCAGTACATTGACTCTCAAATACCGAGGACCTCAGCCCTGCCTTGACAAAAGCCCAATGACAGCCCAAGATAGAACTGTCTCAGGGATGGCTGCTGTGTGGACCGCTCAGGAGGTCACAGAGGGCCGTCAGGGAACTGTGCTGGTAGGAAGGTGGCAGCAGTGCCCCAGGAGTGCCAGGGACATATCCTAGAGGAGGTACAGCTTTGTAACCTGTGAGAGGGCTGGGGGAGGGCAGACGCATGGATCCCCCTGGCTGAAGACTGCAAGGTTCCATCAGTAGGAAAAAATGGGAAGGACGTATAAGTGGAAGAAATGTGTCTACAGATATGCATGTGCCTGTTTTGAATGTCTGGGTGAGACAGTGGAGTGTAAGGGGAAGCCCCATGGGACAGCTGCAATGGTAAGCACATTTATTTATTTTGGCTATTGTGCAATGAGAACTGTAAGAGAAAACACAATTATTATTTAGAGATGTGTGAAAGCTGTATATGGTGGCCAAAGAGATGAAAACTGCATTTGATCATTTCAACATCTTACGTAACAATTATAAAATGCTTATGTACTTCTTGGGACTTTTGAGCTTAGAAGACAAGCGTAGGTAAACGGAAAGATGATGAGCTTAGGAGCAAGACATCTGGGTTTAAATCTTGACAAAATTGGCTATATGACAATGTGAATTTTGTAACCCCTCTGAGCCTCAATACATTTATTTGTAAAATAAAAATAATGTCTTAAGGCCCTTGTGTGAAGATTACATATCATTTGTAAAGTGCCTTACATTTTCAGCAAGCTGTACCGAGTTTACAAGAGCTAGACACTTGTAATGCCAACAATGGGTAAATAGGTGACAATTAAAAATGTTTATTTCCTTCCCCTTTCTCTTGAATGTACAAAGATTTCAATGCACTTATTAATTGGAAGACAGCAATAAAGCATCTCCTTCAACACGCTATGGGTACCACCAGGGTATCAATGAGGGCCACTCAAGACCAGTAGCTGTACAAGGTGGGAAAGACAACATTAACATCAGAATCAGAATGTTCAAGGTATGGACACCTAGGAGTATGGAGAAGCACTATGTCCCTGATAGTGCCCAGAGGTGGGGCAGATGGGGACAGATGGGACAGTGGGGGACTCACCTGCAAAAACTCCTTACAGACCCCTTAGTCCTTATTAACCTATACACTTCCATTCACTATGGGAAGAGGAAAGACAAATGGACTTCCTCCCACACCCAGGCACATCTCTGAACTCTTTCCCGGGATCGTAGTTGAAGGTTGACACAATATGGTAGAGGGAATTCTAAAGATATTCCCCCAAGATTCCCATCCCCTGATTATTCAATCAAACACTAATCCAGGCATTGATGTAAAGAAACTTGCAGATGGAAACAGTTATTAGACAGCTGACCTTAAAATATAGAGCTTATCCTGGATTATCCAGTTGGGTTCAAT